AATTGGCTCTGGCCACCATTTTTATTGAATCATGAACTCTGACCTTTGAGGAAAGTCGGCTCTGCAGATGCTTTAAATGTTCGGGATTCTTTTGAAACATCTTTATGGTAGCTCAACAATTCCTGGGAAGGTTCTATACCGTTTTCTCCATTTGTTTGCTACAATTTCAAATAATTTTTTTCTTTTTTTTGTTGGATCAAGGTATTATATGCTGCTTTCGAGAGACCTTTAAACCTTCATATTGTCAGACGAGAGATTTTTCAACTCTACAGGTGTTGTAATAATAAAACTCAACCCAGCAGTTCATCAGATATGCAGGACTTAATGTTTTCACTCAGAACCCAGCATGCTTTAAGCTTCTCAAACAAGTGAAAAAAACTATAATAAACAGCTTTTGGTATTTACTCTGGCTATCATTGTATGATATAAAAGTTTTTGATTATCTAAAGAATTATAACTGTTATAAAAATAAAAGACAGAAAGCTGGCAAAGCCAAAGAGGACTATTTTCATTCATAAACCAATAGCTACTAAAATAATATTCAAAATGAATTCTTAATTATGCACTTAATTTACTTAAAAATTGGATAAATTATCCAGTAGCAGTTCAAGTAAGAAGTTACTGCAATGGAAGAACTGCTGGAATCCTTTAACGTCTGAGTGATAAAATAATGTATTTGGTTCTCTTAATACTAAAACTTATCTTCTTCCACATAAGAACAATAAACAAAAAGTTCACACTCATACAACCGTAAAAAAAACAAACTAATTCTGATGCCAATGTCCTGCTTCTAATCCCCTATTCATACATTCACAGCTGCAGTAATATAATGCAGCTTTGTCTGTAAAACTCATTCACCTGCCACAATCTAAGAAAGTCTTGCTTTAACAAAAGCGAGATAAAAAGTCATGAAAAATGAGAGGTACAAGATGACAACCCATTTATTTAGTAATACATTCTGCAAACTAGAAATTTTATTCAAACTTTAATGGCTGAAAAAAATGAAAGAAAGGAAGGAAAAGAAGAAGAAAACTTAAGGAGCAGGGAGAAAAATGCATCTATTCACAAGCAAGGAATGCAATTTGTTCAATCGACAACACAAATAATACAATTTAGTTCAGGGAACAAAGCTTTTTTAAACATTTTTCTGTCATTCCTTTGGAGCTAGAACATAATACAAAATATACAGTTATTGAACTTTGTAAAATCACTCACAGAGGCCTCTGAGAAGCATTTGAATCAACACTGACAATATTTAACTACAGCACTCTAAAGCTATTCTTCTATGTGATCATAAATAGAGCAGGTACATTAATGGATGTATGTATGCACACCTTGAATGCTTACGAGGTTACCATGTTCAAACACTTGCATTCAGTAAATGTATGACATCATTTGCATTGGAAATAAAACAAGCTTCTGACCAGGATCAGATGTGGTGACACGGCTAAAACGTTGTACCTTGTGACAGCCAGGACAGATTCAGTACCTCATAAGAAGAAAGTTCCCAATCTGTAAGCAGCAGTATTCATCCTCATAGTGTTTTCTTTTTTTTTTGTTGATTTTTTTTAAATCTATTTTTTGGTGGGGAGAGGACAACAACTTTAGGGGGTGAAGGGGGTGGGGGCAACATGAAATTGGGTAAGGCAAATCGGTGAGCTTATTCATGGGCTGAAAAAGATCAGCGAAGTGAGGCTCGGGTCACCCAGCAAGAGGACGAAAAAAACCACCACTGCTAAGGGTCACACAGTAAACGCCACAAAACAGGTACATCAATATGTACATGAGGGCGCGAGCATTTAAAATCTCTCTAGAGTTTGCTAGGTAGTCCTCCATACAATAATATACAGGATGCATTCCAGGCAACCGAAGGTAACTCTGTAAATAGCTTTATAATCCTTTTTATACAATACCAAAATAAGATAATTAGACAGATGATCAGTGCATATGACTACTGTTAGTCACACACCAATCAGCAACAATGATGAACATCTATCAAAGCCGGGATCTCTGGGTCAAACTCCGGGTCCGGACATTTCGGTGGATGTTGCTTTGGCACACTGCAGCAGACGGTTATCCCAGCTGCAGAAAGACGGCCCGGTAGGGGTGCTTAGAAGAGTTTGACACCAAAAGAAACCCCCAAGCGTGGAAAGCATCTCAGATTCTCATAATAATTACAGGACCCAAAAGGATCCTCTTGAGGCGCAAGGGTCCGCTCCGGCAGAACGAGGGGCCCACATCGTTGTGGCTGATCGGTGTGTTTTTCCCCTCAATCTCCCCTTAACTTAAAACTCCCCACACAATTATATACTTGACTTAAAGAAAGCATCACACAGGTAAGCAGGTATTAAACTCAGGTGAGTATTGGAAAGGCTTCTCAGAGGGGCAGCTTTTAGGATTAAAACAAAAAGGTTGAAGGAGCTTCCTATTTTTCTATTAGAACAAGAATAACCAAACCAAACCCTGATCATGGCAATAACCTGACTGAAAGGAAAATAAATCTACAAAAAGCTCTCTTTAAAAACCCAAGACTACCAGAAAGGTTATGAGGTATTTCAGTTCATTGGAAACTATGAACTGTAATGCTTGCGATCATTTTCTGTTCATTTTAAAAGAATGGGCAGCAAAAGAATGAATTGGGATTTTAACAATCTTCACAGCTACTTTAACTGTCAAATTTAATTCAAAGAAAATGCTGGAAATAACCCTAGGTTTGATTTCTGTAAATCATACATGCAAACACATTTGTTCCTTATTAGAAAATAACTGAATGATAAAGAAATCATTGATACCTACCAGGTCTGAAACAAGCAGCCAGCAGAGATTAGACAGGAGACATCTACTGCACTTAAATACTAGCCATGGAAAGCTAATTTAAGGGCTGCTTAAACAAAAACAACAAAAAAAGAGCTTTTATATACAATAAAATTCTCTTTGCTCAAACACAGTGAAGAAATCAAACTATTTTACAGAATGTAGGTACATTTCTTTACAATTGTGAGGGTATGAATTTAAAGACACAGCAGTTCAACTGTTTGTACTGGAGAATTTACTTCTTTGACTCGGTTACAAATTCTCTGAATTTCACTTGTAGTTTATTAGCCGATAGAAGGTACTCTGTGGTGCTTTCACTGGGTTAACATTCAAAATTTCTGAGTAATGCATTTCACTTAAAAGACCATCAGATTCTACATAGACTTCTTAAAATGTTGTTTTTTCACTCTTTTCTCAGGTTATATGGTACGGAAGAGGATTAGGGCCACTGGTAAAAAATTAAACAAAAATGTTAACTGATATTTACCGTATTTTTTACCACCGTAAATTTTATTTCAGTTTAATATGGAAAGTCAGAATTCTGAGATTACAGTCAGAATTCTGAGATTAAAGTCACAAGTCTGAGAAAATAGTTACAAGTCTGAGATTAAAGTCACAAGTCTGAGAAAAT